GACTTAGAGCGTTGATTGATTCTGCACTATTAGACGTCATGAAACCATATCTTGCTCCAAGTTGATGTACTCTTGACCATCTTTCAAACCCGACATCTTCTAGTGTTTGAGCACACTGAGGCAAAACACGTCTTAAACAATTTATATGCTTATTGAAATCCACTTCCCGATAAGCTTTTACAGCCTTCCAGTATGTCCATTTGTGCTTTTTTATACCAGCAGACCTTGATTTTAGATTTCTATACAAATGAACACCACAAAGTCCATGAAAAGCATCTGGGAAACACCTTCTAACAGCGTTGTCAATTGAGTTTGCCCTATCGGATATGATTGTCAGATTGCTAATAGGACCTATGCAATCCCTAAGATGCCCCATAAACCATGTCCATGAATCAGAGGTTTCAGATTTGCCAACCCCGTAAGCTATTGGCAATATCCCATTGTTAGCATCCATGGCTACTGCTAATAAGTTTACTCCAAGGTATCGACCTTTCAAATGTGCTCCGTCAACTATAATAACTGGGCGCATGCAAGTAATAAACGAACGAATCTACAAAATAATATACAAGAAATATAATCATTTAAATGTGAAATGCATGTAACTAACAAAAATGAGTCAACAAAATTATATTGATTTACTAACCGTAGCACCAATGGCGATAAACAGCAACTCAAAGCGTCCATCTCTATCTGTTTTGATATGAGTTACCGACCCAGGATTTTTCAGCTTTAAATTGTGACAATAAGCCGGCAGTTGGGCAAACGATGCTTCTGGCGACCCCCTCAACAATTCCAAGGCATAACATTTGGCTCTCCAAGCTTGAGAATATGATATACTAATCTTGAACCGAGCATTCATGTCAGTCATAATTTCATGTCCCCGATATACCCTGCCATTCAAAAACATTAACTCAGCCAGAAAACCACCCAACACCTTTTTGTTTGCCTGTCTATGGTGAGGAAAAACTTGGGTTCTTGAACATGTATGTTTATCAATAAAAGTCCTAACTTGAAACATTTCGCAATCTTTTATTCTCTTTGCAATCATTCGCCACATACAGTTTTTGTCAATCATACACCTTGTTTCGAAACGATCTTTGCTTGATTTGTTAACTTTTAGTTGATAGCCATCTTCCACACATTTCGTATACAAAGCTATCTTCAAGTCTTCCTTTGTATCAAAACAATCATCTTTCTTGATACGAATAACTTTTGTGTAACAATCAACTGCTTTCTTTACCAACTCTTCTTCCGGTATCTGAAGTAATTCTGGCATATTCCAGTTATACGCCCGTGGCATTTTCTTTTCTTCGGGGATTTTTTCTTCTTCTTTTTCTTCTTCAGGATTATGAATTACAGAATGGATGTTCAACATGTTCATTCACAGTCGTAACTTCCTCCTCATTATCATCAACAATACATTCTTCGGCAACGGCTGTTTCATCATCAAAATTCGGGTATTGACCAATATCAAAATCATTACACGCAGGGTCTGTTTCTTCTTCTGAAACATCATCAAAATCCGTGTATTGACCAATATCAAAGTCCGGATATTGACCAAGACCAAATTTCGAATACTGACTAGTACTCACAATTTTTTTTGTTGGCTCATCATCGTCTAACTGGTCAATACGAAAACCGGAATTTGGTGCTGAAAGTTGATTGGGATTTGGATTAGAGAAAGGTTGTGGGTTTTGAGAAAAACTTAGTTGATTACTACCCGCTACTGACCCAACAATACTACTTCTAGGTTCAACAACATACAATGTAACATCATCTTGTGAAACACTAATGTAAGCAATGAATCGTTCAACATCTTCATTGTCGGTTAACAAATAAACTTTACCATTTCTCTGATAAGATAGCCTAAATCCACTTAGGGGCTCTAAATTCAATTTATTTGAAACACGTAGCATTAGAGTTTCATAAGTTAACTTTTGTAAAGACAATTTTAGTTGAAGATTCATGGGTAAAGGCATATATTGTAAAACACCATGAACATTATCCCATGACCCTCCAAAACACAAATCTATCCAAACATGATCAACATTAGATGATTTCATGGTTGTAAATTAATTTACTAAACAGACGAGCTGCGAAACTAAAACCTGTTGCCGGATTGGGAAGGATGTCGTTGGATATAGGAACGGATGTCGCCGGAGAGAGTGATAGATGGAGATGGAATGAGTTGCGATTTAGGGATTTAGTTTATGATTTCAGTGTTATATACCCAAAATTTCAGTGTTGTGATTTACAGATTCTCGTTGCGATTTACGGATTATCGTTGCGATTTACAGATTCTCGTTGCGATTTACGGATTATCGTTGCGATTTACGGATACGCGTTGCGATATACGGATACGCATTGCGATTTACGGATACGCGTTGCGATATACGGATACACGTTGCGATTTACGGATACGCGTTGCGATTTATGTGTTCGCGTTGCGATTTTCATATTCGCGTTGCGAATTTGTACTATCGCATTGCGATTTTCAAGAATCGCGTTGCGATTTTGGAAACTGATTTGCGATTCTGGGGATCGCGTTGCGATTTTTATTTCGCGTTGCGATTTTGTTGGTCATTTTGGCAAATCCAAAAAAAGTTGGTTAAAATCGTATATTATAACTTTTTTTTGGTCACTGAGGCGATTTTCTCTAACAAAAACGGTAATACATTTTTAGTTGTATATTAAGGGTGACGTACTGTATAACTTCCTACACAGACGGTGACATTAGGTTATTGAGGGAGACATTCGATTAGGATGAGCATGACACTCGAACTCAACGGATCGAGTTGACTTTTTTAAAAAAAGAATTTTGGGTTTGGGTTGAATTGGATCGTACTTTTAGATGTTGTGTTCGGGTCGGATTCGAGTTTAAGGTGAAAATTACTCGATCCGACCCGATGGGACCCAAAAATATAATTTTACCTTATATATTATGGATAGTTACAATAATATCTTTATATATTATTATTTTTTAATTAAATCCCTATTTTTATTGAACAAAAATAATATTTTTTAATAAATATATTATTTTGTATCAGTTGAACAAAAATAATATTACTTTGAAAAATCCTGTTTGGAGAAGCACTGCAAAACGAAGTAAAATATACATTTAAATAGGGTTGTTTATTCGGTTAAAACCGAACCGAATTAACTATAACCGAATTAATCAAAAAAATTATTTAACTGTTAACCGAACTTTTTTCGAAAATATTAACCGGATCGAATAAATTTCGGTTAATTTTCGAATTAACCAAAAAAATTAAAATTTTCTAATTTATATAAAAATTAAATGTTTTTTAATTAAAAAAAAGTTTATAATTAATTTAAATAATATATAATTATAAAATAAAAATTTCAGATAAATTTTTTAATTAATTAATATTGATTTAGGTTTAAAAGTTATTGTATCTTAAATTATTAATTGAGTTTTAAATGGTTTGGACTGAGCTCATATGTTATATATAATATGTTTAATATTTTTTAATTAAAAAAACAGTTTACAATTAATTTAAATAATATATAATTATAAAATAAAAATTTTATATAATTTTTTAATTAATTAATATTGATTTAAGTTTAAAAGTTATTGGATCTTAAATTATTAATTGAGTTTTAAATGGTTTGGGTTAAGCTCACATGTTATATATAATATATTTCATATTTAAAATTCAATTTCGGTTAATTCAGTTAATTAACCGATTTTGAACCGAATTAACCGTTAACCGAATTCTAAAATTTTTTTTAACCGTTAACCGATCGAACTAATTCGATTCGGTCGGTTATAATTCGAGTTCGATTATTTGAACACCCCTACATCTAAATATATTGTAACTCTAGAGGCTAAGACTATCAAAGCTTGGTCCAAAAGGTCGATTCTACAACGATGATGACCCGATAAATGTCGAGATTTAAACCTACATTATAAAAAGTAATATGACTTATTTTTAATCAAATGATTAATTAATAAATCTCTTTATATAATCTTTTTAAATTGTTAATTATTAAGAATTTCTCTCTCTCTTTTTTAAATGGTCCGACAGGCGACATGGACTATTCATGGCATTTACTCATTAGCAATAATTTTCAATCCAAAGCTGAGGCCAGTGGTGCCTGGAAATTTCCTAGACAGATGCTTTCTCCACAAACCTGCAGAATACAAACGGAGGATCATGATCAGTGACGGGTTCACATTTCGTGGATAAATAAATTTTCATCTTAAAATTTGAATTTTTTTCCGATTATTTATTTTGTTAATTATGTCTATAATAAAATTTTATTTATATCGACTCACATACAAATTTCTAGATCCGTTAATGGTGACGGTGATAAAGCCAACTAAGCAAAACCCAGTGATTAATTATTGGAGCTACTTTAATTGGAAAAGGAATGGGGCAATCAGACAGTTTTATAATATCCATCCATATCCACCACAGTGATCCAAATTGTATTATATCCAAATAATACAGTTCCATACAGCAGATTCCAATGAATTTCTCCAATGGAAGTGCATGCTGAATCGGATAACACTATGCCCTACAACCTCCCCAATCATCTAATATTTCGAACCGTTCATCGAAATAAATTCGAACATGAATTTTTTTGAATATGATTGTTTTATCCAACGACTGTCTAATTTAAAGTTGAGGAACGACAAGGAATAGACGCAATCGAAAATGTTATAAAAAATATAATATTTTCGTTTGTACCTTTCGTTAACATTAAATAGACTATCTTTCCTCGAACTCTCCCAAAAAAAAGACATAATAAATCGATGTTCCTACAAATTCACTGTTTTTTTTATCATTTGACGGAGACAAAGGAAGATACTTGGAAATTCCCCGCACGTATTGTCCTTCAAGAAAGTGGATGGTTTGTTTGGTTACTCAGAAATCCATGGACCACAAATCGAAACGTACTAAATTATTGAAGATATAGCTATCAATTATATATATATATATATATATATTATTTCGTTTAGTATAATCATATGTGTCAATAACACAATAAAACTTTTTTTTAATATTCGTCGGATTTATCAATTGTCGTATAACCATTGTTGTTTCGAAAAAAAAGGTATGAAGCTAAAGCTTGTATCGACGCTGACTGTCGGGTTGTTCGTGGTCTCGTGTGTGGCGGAGCTTCAACGCTTCGAACACGCCGCGAAACCAGACGGGTCGCTGAGCTTCTTGGTGGTCGGAGACTGGGGAAGAAGAGGACACTATAACCAATCTCAAGTTGCCCTTCAGGTGTTTCTCTTAAAACTGTTTTTATAAAAACTACAATATTCACGTGCATCAACTTATCATGCATGATTAACATACAAGTTTTCGTATCAAAATACATTTTTTATCGATCGAATTTAGCTCGGTTGATATTATTATCGATAAATCATATAAGAATATTAGGGTCAAGCATGTTTCGACCTTAATATCCTCTTATCTTCAAGTACTGATTTATTTATATGGTTCAGATGGGACTAATCGGGGAGAAAATCGGTATCGACTTCGTGATCTCGACCGGAGATAATTTTTACGGCAATGGACTAACCGGTGTCGGAGATCCAGCCTTCCATGAATCCTTCACTGATATTTACACAGCTCCCAGCTTGCAAAAACAGTGGTACACTGGTATTAATCTTCACTGATACTGTTCTTTAAAAAAATTAACATTTTAACCGAAATAACTGTCGATGTTACATAATAAGATTAAAGATTAAATTTTGAATCCATTTCGATTGCAGTTTTGGGTAATCATGATTATAGGGGCAACGTTGAGGCTCAATTAAGTCCCATTCTTAGAAAGATAGATAGCAGATGGCTTTGTTTGAGATCTTTTATCCTTAATGCTGGACCTGGTAATCAAGCTTTTACATATGCAAATACATATATATATATATATTATTTTTAACACATTTTTAATATTTTTTTCTCATGATTTGTTGGCAGAAATGGCTGAATTTTTCTTTGTAGACACTACACCATTCGTGTCCAAGTACTTCACTGACCCACAAGGCCATGTTTATGACTGGAGAGGCATACTCCCGAGAAGGAAGTACCTCAACAGAATTTTGATGGTAACCTTTTTTTTTAATTATGGCGTGTTCGAATATGTATTTGATACGAATATATCATACAGGAAGTGGAATCGGCTCTGAGAGAGTCGTCAACGACGTGGAAAATAGTGGTGGGACACCATCCGATCATGAGTGCCGGACACCACGGGAACACCGACGAGCTCTCCGATGGTCTTCTTCCACTACTTCAGGCGTACGAAGTTGATCTTTACATCAATGGACATGACCATTGCTTGGAGCATATAAGCAGCAGTGAGAGGTACACATACATACATACATACATACATACATACATACATACATACATACATACATACATACATACATACATACATACATACATACATACATACATACATACATACATACATACATACATACATACATACATACATACATGTATGTACAATTGTACATGCTATTATACTAAAGAGTGTTTGTTGACTATGCTGGTAGTGGGATTCAATTTATGACAAGTGGAGGGGGATCAAAGGCATGGAGGGGAGATGTTGCGACGTGGAAGAATCCACAAGAGATGGAATTTTATCACGACGGACAAGGGTTCATGTCGGTGGAGATGAGAGGTACAGATGTGGTGGTTAAATTCTATGATGTTTATGGTAATGTTCTGCACAAATGGAGCACTTCCAAGCAGCTGGCTTTCGCTGTCTAGGGGAAGAGTTTCAACTAATTAAACCACCTTTGATTTGTGGCAATGGGTAAACGGCATCACCGACATGAAAATGATTGATAGAAACTTTGTTAATCATGCGGGACCTCTATGTAATACTTAGCCAATGATGGATCCATAAATATATTTTAAGGTGAACACATATATTAATCCCATGAAAATTTTTAGTGAATACAACTATTAAAATATATAAATATCCGAAGAAATATTAGATTTTAAAATGAGCATTTTTAACACTTAAATATATAAGAATTCTTTTCATCATCTCTTCCAACTCAATCTGTTATAAATGTTCTGAAGCTCACTTAAAATTCATAAAATTCAACTTAAATAAAAATAGTGAAATCCTAAACCAATCTTATCTACGATTTTAAAATTTAGGGTATATTACATGTCTAGTATATAAACTGTCAATTTTGATCCGATTTAATACCTAAACTTTTAATTTTTTAAAATCATACCTAAAGTTTAATTTGTGTTACATTTTAGTACCCCTGTTCAAAATTTAACATTAAGTTTTGAATTTTTTTTTAAATTTAGGTTTTAAAACGGATCAAAACTGATAGTTTACTAAACGTGTTAAGTTTTTAACAGTGTGGTACTAAAATAAAACAAAAACTAAACATTAGGTATGCTTTTGAAAAAGTTGAAAGTTTAGGTACTAAACGGACCAAAATTGATAGTTTAAATAAGAATAAACTACATGTTTAGTACATAAACAATCACTTTTATTCTGTTTTAGTACCTAAGCTTTCAATTTTTTCAAAATTATACCTAAAATTTACTTTTTGTTTCATTTTAGTACCCTACCGTTAAAATTTTTTAAACTAAAATGAAACAAAAAGTTAGCAATGGGAGTACTAAAATGAAACAGAAAGTAAACCCCGGGTACTAAAATAAAACAAAAAGTAAACATCGGATACCAAAATGAAACAAAAAATAAATGTTAAGTATGATTTTAAAAAAATTAAAAATTTAAGTACTAAAACAAAACAAAAGTGATACTTTAGATACTAAACATGTAGTTTACCCTTTAAATAATAAATGCTTAGACTCACAAAACTTGTAAACCAGATATTAATAAGAACCAAAGTTAAATTAAAATTGGAGTTTCCACCAACCATGCGATTTCATTTAATAAGATATACCAAAAAAAAAAAACTTGGAAGTTTCAAATGTTGCCGCTCTTTAAACTCATTGCACTTCACAGCCTGCCTCTCTTACTCTGAACTCAGTTACTAGCAGGTTTGCTCGACGTTATCGGTTGTTCTTACTTCACTACCCCATTGCCGATTCAGTCTACACTTCCGTTACAGTTCTCTTTCTCTGGTTGGGAAACTGTCTCCGCTGGAACATTGAGTTCGGTTGCAGTAGTCAACTCTTGCGATGATGGATTACTAGAGCCTGGTGGAGGAAGGAAAACTCCGGTTCCAGGAATAGGTAGGCAAGGTGCAGGGTGCCTCGGAGGAGGGGCCGGCCACGCTGTCGAACCAGGTGGGATAGGAACCGGAGCATGAAACGGTATTGCAGGAGAAACTGGAGCGGGCACGAATAAAGGCGGAACACCATTCGGAGGTGGGATTTGTGGGTGATTTGGTGTGGCTGGGAGTACTACCGATGTTGGTATTGCTGTATAAGGCTTGGCACCTATGGAAGGGCGAAAATGATTGGGTGGTCTACTAGGTGGCGGACCCCATTTTGAAGGCTGAGAAACCGAAGGCGATGGAAGCCTCTGGTTGTCGATCATGAATTTCTTTGGTTGATACTTAGTAAATGTGATGAGTACGCGTTGCTTTCGGACGGAGGGAAGTGCATGTTTAGCGAAATCACAGGATTTTCCTTGCATCACAAGGAGAGAACTGCATGATAGTCATGAAATACACAATATTAGGAAAATTATCAAAGATAGTAATCTGAAACACGCAACATTCTCGAAGCACATCGAAGGGTTGTGAAGGCGATAGGATCGAGAGAAAACGGTTAAATAATTACCCCGGTGAAAGAGAGAGCTTTAGAGAGCCCCTAAAGTCCCCAGGATGATCGAATGCAATAACTCTTCCAAAAGTAATATCGCACTCGGTTAAGAACACGATGCAAACCGGTCTCCCATACCAAGATGGCAACACGTGAGGTGGTGAATGATCCCCCTTCATATTTAAAAAGAAAAGCATAATATTAGTATCAACGCTTAGCTCATTTTCCTGCAAAACCACCAGAAGCACCATCGTTACCTACCTCATTATAAACATCGATGATGCAAGAGTCCGGCTTTGAAGTTATAACTTGCAAGTTAACCAAACGATCAATAGCATCTTGCAGCAAGGAAGGAATGGCTTCGACTCTCCGCTCTGGTAATGCATAATCAAATTAGAAGGCGCTTGAAGTTTAGTTACTTATAAGTCGATAAACAAATATGTACGCTACTTTGTGCATGTATGTATTTGGGGGGGGTGAGGGGAAAGAGTTAAGGGGGAGAAGGCACATCACAGGAACATGCCTCTGGAAGTCCCTGCAGCAGTTTCATCATCTAGAGGTGCATTAGCGATTGGAAGGCACAACTGGATCATCTCTCGACCATGTCCCTTCATTGGCTTTCTCGAAACCACGTATGTCGGATCTGCTTCTCTCAAATTATCACATAACAATTCAGCTCTTACTGATAAAAATGAACGCAATTTTATAGGGCTAATCAACGCGACACTGCTACAGAATCAGTCAAGTAGAAGCTTCCAAGGAACAAATGCAATTTTCGAAAGTTACCTCCTCCTCCTAGCTAGACCAAGAAAAAGATGAACTTGTAAGAATACTTGCCTTGAAGTTCCCCTCTTTTCCCCGCCGCCCTTAAATCATTTACCAATGAGACAAGATTCGAAACGTCCTTCTCATCAAACAGTTCCTTGTACAATTTTAGCCCATCCACCACATTGACCTCAACATATGAAAAAAGAGGCTTATCAGAAATCGAAAAATTTTGCGGTGGAAGAAGCAAGAAGCTATCAGTACATCCAGAATTTCACAAAATAACCATCATAACAATTATAAAGAATTACCATCTTTCCGTCAAACATCTCGTTGCAAACAAAAGTTTTTGGACAAGTAGCGTTCTGCTTTCCGTTCTGATTTTGGGAGGAATGTAGGTCTTTCTCTAAAAGATCATTAATAGAAAAAAATATATATTAATACAACAGAACATAGTGAAATTAGTGTTAAACTCCAAGGAATTATTCAAAAAACCTGAAATATTTGAGTTCGAGCATTCAACACGATGCAGGTGTTGAATCGTGTTGAATCAAACATGCAATAGCTAAAAGCAACCGACAACCAAAGTAAAAGGTGGTACCTTTACAGCTCAAGGTGTATCCTCCATTTACATCCTCAGTTCCCAATTCTGTATTTCCGGATGCAGATCCCTTCAAAGACCCTGAGTTTATTAAGCCACTATCAGCATGAGGTTTGGAACCAACATCCGAGTAAAATACATAATCGCGACGAGCCGATGAAAGAGTATCAATTAACTTTTCTGAAAAAATAGTTACTAGCCAATGCAGTATCACAAAGAAAGCTTGGAAACGAACCGAAATAACCTTCATTGACAGCAAAAGAAAAATTCCTTGGGAGTTCTCATCCTCTCCCTGAATGTAAACAAGCTATTAAATGCATGCCTCTTATGTATTTTTAACCATCCCCAACTGTTAATTAGGCATGTAGGTAGTAAAATACATAATCGCGACGAGCCGATGAAAGAGTATCAATTAACTTTTCTGAAAAAATAGTTACTAGCCAATGCAGTATCACAAAGAAAGCTTGGAAACGAACCGAAATAACCTTCATTGACAGCAAAAGAAAAATTCCTTGGGAGTTCTCATCCTCTCCCTGAATGTAAACAAGCTATTAAATGCATGCCTCTTATGTATTTTTAACCATCCCCAACTGTTAATTAGGCATGTAGGTATATCATATATGGATATTCAAGTAAAAGTGACAAATATGGAATGTAGTAGCAACAATTAAGAAAGCTTGCTTTAAAATCCTTTAATTTTAATAGAAATGTTACCAAAAGACAAAGGGTTACTTTCTAGTTTAGGATAATTTTCCTAATCCGAGAAAGATGGCGAATTCGACATATACGGAAACACCATGCTCTTTAAGCAACTAAGCATGTAAATACAAATTTCACTCATATACATCACAAATAGATGACCAAGCATATCAAGCTAACAATGCAATACATCATTCAATTTCACCACAATGTAAGTAAAACATGAGCCAAGTAGTTACCATTGTTATCCTCGGTGACAGCGGAGGCCGTGCCCTTATCGCGGCTATCTTTCTCGTTCCGGTCCGAAACTGCAGCGACAGTCGAATTCCCATCACTATCCACCCCAGAATTCTGCACATCTTTAGCTACCTCTGTCCTATGCCCCTTAAACCCGACGGCGGATCTTCTAAATTCTTTTCCCCCAACTTTCCCTTGATCGTAATGCCTTTGCCTCCGGCTCCACACTACCTGTTGAAGCGCCTGCGGAACTTCGGCAACCGAGAAATAGTGCTGCATATGAAGCACGGGGTTCCAATGGCATCTCCTCTGTTGAATGCAAGCTATGACAGCTTCATACTCGCCAACGCCACCGACCTCACGCAAATGTTGACAGAGGACATCAATCATAGCATTGGCGGCGGCGAATTCCCCTCGCAACCAATAGATAAAGCCGTCACGCTCATCGGGGAGCCATTGCCGGTATTGGTGCTGATGGATCTCTCCTCCTCCGGAACCACCGCCACCGACAGATCCGGCAGCTGCAGTCCCAGAAAACTGCATTTTATCAGACAAAACTACACTTCCCGATGGCATTGCCATTGAGAAAGGGGGAAAAAACCTCCCTAAACCAATTCAACAATAAACCCAGACTATTAAAACAACATATATGATCTAAAATACCCGTAATCCAGATCTAATTAATTATAAATCCCAAAATATCCAATCGGATCACGTTAATCTTAAATAATTCAACATTAAAACAATTCCGTGAAACAAGAAACAAATGGGTTTCTTTTTATTTCCTTGTTTACTGGGTTTAAGCCGATCTAATAACAGATTCGCAATGGGAAAAGGAAATGGGTAACTAAGGGGGCAAAAGCAATGACAAAATCAAATATAGAAATTGGGGTTGGTCTAGTTTAGTCCGATCTGGAAAAAAATTGGATCTTTTGCTTTTGTTGTGTTGTGCGTGTGAAGCTACAGTGGTTCAACACACTGACGTGAGTGCCGAAGAAAACTTTTTAAATAGACAAATTAGAGATTTAGTGTTTGGGTTTAATGCTATTTTGGATGGAAAATAAAAGAAAAGAAAAGAAGACAACTTTCTTGTGGGAGAGAGTGAAGCTGAACAAAAATGGCTTAGGGATCACGCAAGCATGTGTATGGTCTTAAATGGTGGCTAAAATCAAAACAAACTTCGTTATTTTCATTGAAAATTTGTATCTTTTTGAGTTTGATGGATAGATCTTCGAACCTTGGTGGAATATTCGATGGATTTTTCATGAATTATTTGTAAAATAAAATTAATTTTTATAATTTAAATAAACGAATATAAAAATATCCCTTATGAAAGTAATGATCAAAATTTGATATTTTTATTAATTAACTCCCAATAAAATGTCCTGATAAGGATTAGCCAAAAAAAATAACGGAAAACGTTCATATTCTTTTATGAAATTACAGTGCTTTGCTTTTTTCTTTCTTCAGATGAACAATTGCTGTCAATTTGATCATGCAATCATCTCTGGTTTGTTGGTATTGTCGAGTAAACAATCTCTGAACATCTTTATTCTGTTCGATTCTGTTATAATCGAATCTATTTCGAATATAACATAATCGAAATATGGGGCTTCATGGTAACCATTTAGACCATCGAAATGGTTGCAACTTGTCAGTAAGAAACATGATCTGTCAAGAGTGTTCCTGCTGAATTTGGTATCTTTGATACTGTTGGTCACTTGATTTATAGGTCTTGACCGAAGATAAGCTCCGACAAACCGACCATCGGGGAATAGAGTGACATCCGGCCTCCGATGTAAGTATTCTAGATCGGAGACTAACCCCTAATCGAGTATGTTCATTATGCAGAATTTTAACATGATCTGTTTAGCTTCATTGCAAAATGCAGGAAAGATAGTACGTTCTCCCTATGGTGCTATGCATGGCAAAACTTCTCCGGTATATTACGACCAGAAGGCGGAAGATGGGTTGTTTACGGGATGCACTGCAGATATCACGGCATCGTGATCGACAAGGACAGTTTTCCTGGGAAAGCACTTGAGGACCTGAGGTTACTGCTCCGAAACCTTCCGGTCCTGTATGTCACCAATCCGCATAGGCAATACTTGCCCGAGATCATTTTTCCTGCTCTTTTAACCCTTTTCTTTGAAAGGTCATGCAAGAGTTTTCTCGCAGAATTCGAAACTAGGCCGTCGATTACTTTTCTGGAAAGCATCTTCAGGACCTTTTATGCTAACATCATATGATACTCTTGGACAAAACCAAGTTTAGCATTCAGCTGTTAGGGTTTATTGCAGTGAAGCAACAAAAGTTTACAATCTGTAGCAATCAAAGACATCTTATCTACTTTGCACATGATTTACTCCAGTGCTTACGGGTGGATGACTATGAATTATTATGTGGTCTAAAGTACATGGAAAAAGATTTCCATTGCAATTCCAGTTCAAAAATTGGTTGTCCTATGATCTTATACGGATTTCAAGTGCAAGTTGTTTCAACAGTTTGTGATCCAGGTGATCCTTATCCTATCGGGTCGGAAGCCGTCGAATTCGGGTCAAATTAGAATCGCTATATACGTGAATGTATGTATATATGCTAACAGATAAACATAGCCCCAAACTTTGGACATTAACTACAACAGTTTTGGGTGTTGCAGATGTTCCAGCAAGAAGAAAAGCAAAATGGAACTTAAAATTAATAAAAAGAAAAGTATTTTATTGAACCAATCTGCAAAAGCTATGGAGAGATAACATAAACGATAAAAATGGAAACCTAAAAAATATATGGAACGTAAATATATGTGTATGTGTTGTGTCACCTCTCTCTATACACAGAACTGACCCCCCCCCCCAAGGCCCCAACTAAATGGAATCAGCCTCGAATCGGTTTGCTCGGCTGCGTTTGTGTCGTTTCCCGTGGTGGTGCCTGCCTCCTCCGAATGTGACCGGATCAAACTTCTTGAGTCGTTCGACTTCTAGGAGATTGACCACGCACTCGGGAGGTGGGGCTTTGTATCTGGTTTGGTCATAGCAATATGAGTATGTCATGTACTTCCTCCTAAATCTATCCATCTTGCTTCTTTGTGGTGAGGTGATAAGGGAGGTTAGTTGTTCCGGACTTTGAACTTTGTCACACCTCTTTGACGAAAACTCGATCGGATCAACTGTGCAGCCGTGAAGGATCAATTCGGAGAATTCAGCTACGTAAGGAGCGTATTTGTAATTGACTCTATATTTGCCACCATTAGTAGCCCAATCGGATCCATCCCATATGGTAGCATACAAAGACATTGGCTTGGAGGGGAAATTTCCACCCATTGCAGCTGTTCTTTTTAACTCTCTAATTGGGATATTGTCTACATAAAATCTGCAAAGCACGAAAACCATATCCGTGTCAAACACATACACGTATCCGACACTCGTTCAAGAGACCGAGTAACCTAGAAAAGCCCGAAAGGATGAAACAGGGGCTGCCATCAGAAGCAAAAACCAGAGTTCACATTGTGTAATAAAATTAAACATGCCAAAACCAGATTTGGAAAACGGAAAGTAACTCGACATATGTTATTCGGACTCGAGATACGAGTCCGAACACACGTATTCGGAGTTTCTCTAAAGGGATAACATTCCAGCATCTATGTTCGTCGAATACGAGTAATCGGGGATAGACTTTCGACGCTTACATGATGTGAGAATCAGTCCAGAGAATGGTGTACTGATGGAAATCATCAGCAGGATCAAACCAGAGATTGTATCTTTCTTCTCTGCCAACCCTGGTGCTTCCATTGCCATAAACATTGGTCTGAATCCTCCAATCTTTCCCTCTAATGTTCCCCAAGAACTCGAAATCGATTTCATCGTGGTTCTTCTCGAATATATCACCATTCGACATCTGTTTCAACATGAAAAAGGAATCCATTTTCAGGAAATTCATTTCATCAATGTTTCACAAGTCTGCAACAACATACAAAATAACTTCAACATGTTCATGTTCATGTTCATATCCAGGTGGATTTTGATCAGATACTCGAACAAAAATCTGGGATTTTTTTTAAAGGAAAACAGTGGCAATTGGCAAATTCATCCGAGTCTAATTAGTATCATTTCAAAAAGGATAAATCAACACTAAACAACAATCATGGGATTAAAAAATAGGATTAACTCACATAGAAAGCAACCACAACTCCAGCAGTGTAATCAGCAGGCAACTTTATCGAAGCACTGAAGTAGCCATGCAAGTAAAGGTCTTGAGAAACAAATCCAGACCCTGTTTTTTTTACCGCCATTAAAGCAAAAATCTTTCCTTTTAATGAAACAAAGAAGAAGAAGAAGAAGAAGAAAAACCCAGAAAGCAAAACAGCTCAACCAAACAAACAAACCTGTTCTCTGATTCAAAGTCAAGTGAACAGCTTTACCATCTCTATGTAAAACTATATTATCATCTCCAAACAACTGATTATACCCTTCATCGAATGAAAGAATCGGGAGACCTTTTTCAAACCCAGAAGCAACAACACAAACCTGAGCCAAAAACAAAAACAAAGAAGAGCCCAGATAAGGTAACTTCATCACCATGTCTTTCTTGCCCTGTGGATAAAGAGACGAGGAAGAAGAAGAAAGGAATAACAATAAATAATCTCTCTACAGCTAGCTATGAGAAGAGAGCCAAAAAAGCTAATGGAAATTGAAAAGAAAGACAACATACCGGGTCATTTTATCGGGTGAGTGAGAGGATGTTGAGCTGTTCATATGTCGACAGGTTATTAAAATTTTAGGTTAAAATATGCATTAAGTACTTAAATTATTAATTTTGATCGATTGTAATACTTAAACTTTACAACAACAACAACAAAATATTATTCACATATATAATAAGGTAAGTGGAGGTAAGGTAGTAGGCTTTCCCCAATTTCAGGTTGAGAGCAGCTTCCGTAGAATATCTCCGACAGTCAGAAACTTGAAAATAAAGATAAAATACAATACATGTATAAATAAATAGGTGAACAGTCTTCATATGCAGTCTTCATATGCGCGTCTGTAATGAGAAGTTATCCCTGCAAATAAATTCCTGCGTAAAAATCTCTGTATATAGACAGAAACGTAAGTCCCGATTAAAATTAAAAAGAGGAAACATGAAGAGAATGATACACAGTAGTCAGCGATAGCAAGGTACGAGAAGGATAAAGTCAAATGGGTTAAAACCTAACACTACTCCGCTACCCTAGTTCTAAGCCTTCATAAATTCCAATGACAGAAGCGTATAAAAAGTAAAAGTCATGGAAATTACTACAAATGCATTAAAAAGTAGACATATGTGCTACACCATATAGTTGTGACCCACACTACTCGGCTACCCTGGTCTTGAGTCTCTATACTTTCCTGTCAGAGATCATGCCCTCGGTAAGGGATAAATCCTTCAAATCATATCAGTTTAAGTTCGTTTTAGTACCTAATCTTTCAATTTTTTAAAGCTTAATGTTAAATTTTGAATGGATACTAAAATGGTAAAAACTAAAGTTTTTAACAATAAAGTACTAAATGAAATAAAAATTAAACTTAAGGTATAATTTAAAAAAATAAAATTTAAGTATAAAAATGATATAAAATTAATAATTTATTCTATTAATTGATTAACGATTATTAATGTGATATTTCATACGCACTCATTTATTTACGTGTTATATATCACAACATTTAAGATGATAACAAAATATTTATCATATCACCCAAGATAATAACTTAATATTTATCGTAACACCTAAGGTGCTAACATGTAATGTAACACATAACAATTAAATATATATAAAATGATACTCAATCATATATTAATTGTTAATCAAATCATAATTTTCATTCAATTAAATTTATTTTAATTTTAAAACATTAATAAATAAAGTATTTGTTAATCTTTTTAATAAATGTTAGATACAAATTTTAATATTTTTATAAAAACTAAAAACATGAAAGGTAGGGCTGTAAATGAGCTAATTGAACTCGAGTATTATTGAGCTCAACTCTATTTGAAAACTTTAATATAGAACTAGACTTGATTATAAAACTCGTGAGCTTAAAATTATCAAGCTAGACTCAAACTAAAAATCATAAACTGAAGCTCGTAAAAGCTCGAAATGGAAAAAAAACAAACTTAAACTTAACTCGATTGAAACCTCAAACTCGAACTGAACTTTAAATACATGAAAATCTTATGTTACATTTTAAAAAAATTAACACATAAATATTAATATTATTAATAATTTTTTTATAAAACCTTAATATATTATATTTTCAAACCGCTCGTGAAATTTTTAAATCGATTATCAAATAGTTCGATTCAACTTTATAAGAACTCGAATAAAATTTAATTAAATTAAATATTTATTAAATTTTAACCGAATTAATCTCGACTCTACGCCCTCCTAATGAAAGGGGCCGCTGCTCTCTCCCCGTTAATCCCGTCTTCAAAGAGACGAGAATCGATGTGGCCCTAAATTCAGCGTGCCACGTGGCTAAGTTTAAACGGGATAAAATCGGCGCAGCGGCGCGTACTTTCCGATCAAAATGAACGGTCCAAAAATTTGTTCATATGTGTGTGTGGCAATAAGAACACGTGATTGCATTGAACTGTACAGCTGGAACTGTACTGTTTCTTAAGTAATGCTCTATTTGAGTCAAATTGCACACGAATTAAATTATTTTAATAGCTAAAAAATAATAATAATTTTTAAAAATTTTAATTTTAAATATTAGTAATTATTAAAAAATGATTAAATATTAATATCTCACGGAAATTATTTTTAATTTGACGTTAGAGGCAGTCTACTATCTTACCTCCCCTTACCCCATTTTATATGAGAATAAGGGTAAGTTAATTTTTTTATTAAATATTAATAATTATAAAAAAATTATTAAATATTTATTATTAAGCGATTGAAAATAGCTATTATTTTACCTTGTTTAATAAAAAAAATGCGAACCTCTTTTTTGTTTTCCTAAAATTATATAATTTATAAAAGTTTAATGTTTGGGGTTTTTTCATTTCACTCTTTTAGTGGTGTGAGATTTTTATAATTTATGCTACGTTTAATACATAATTAATAATGTAGAAAAAAAATAATTAAATTGTTATATAAAATTAAAAAAAATAACCATCAAATGAAAATTTTCTTCATAATCAAATGGCATCTGATATAATTTAGGGTAAAGTATGTGCTTAGTACATAAAATATAAGTTTTGCCGTTTTAGTATCTAAATTTTTATTTTTCTTAAATCATACCTAGCGATTATTTTATTTTAATATCCCTTCATTAAAAAATTAATGGATGAGCTCGTCAGTCACCGCATTATGTATGTTAGACCGTCTGTTAAAATTTTAACGATTGGTGCTAAAATAAAGCAAAAACTAATCGTTATGTATGTTTTTTTAAAAAATAAAAATTTAGGTACTAAAACGTATGAATATTAATAATGAAAGTAGGGTAAATTACAAATTTGATAATTAAACTTTCATATGATTCCTATTTTACTCACCACACTTTCAAAATTTTCGATTTGCTCACTCAACTTTATGGATTAAACTTTGTTGGTCACTCCACCTATATATCACTAATAGCTTTTTGTCGTGGAATTTTTAATATTAAAAATGAGACATTGGATTTCCATGTAATAATAATATAAGGGTAAATTGCAATTTTGATAACTGAACTTTCATATGACTCTTATTTTATTCACCATACTTTCAAAATTTTCAATTTACTCACTCAACTTTAGATTGAGTTTTTGGTCAGGGAGAGATGAACAGACGCGGGTACTCGAAAAACAGGTTCGAACTGTTTACCCAACGGCTGACGACGGAGTTAACGACGATGAGAGGACAAATCAACTGAGTTTTGGTCGGAAAGAGGAGAAGACTTCAACAGTGGCAGCGGTGAGACGAACGGACAGTCGGGGTGGCTGAAAATTGACGAAAACCGATGGGAAGATTTGGTTTCCCGATGAACCTTCGACGATTCTATACGACGAACGACAGGGAGCCTTGATGATCGGACACCAAGGTTTTGGTCGCGATGTCCTGTTGCTTAAACCTATACTGTCGGTGACAGTTATCGTCCAACAGCATGGAGATCAATGACGTTTCATCGAATGATTTCCTATGATTTTACGATGAATGATGAACTTTCATCAACAGTGAAGGGTATGTCATCGAACGGGAGACGACACTAGTGAAATTGGAGGTGGCGGTGCGAGCCACCATTGGCCGAAGATAGGTTCATCGATGACGGCAGCAGCGGACGATCGTTGGAGATGATAAGTTTAACAACAGAGTGACCAACAAAAGCTCAATCTATAAAGTTGAGTGAATAAAATAGAAATCATATGAAAGTTCAATTATCAAATTTTTAATTTATCTTTTATTATTTTCTGACCTGTTATAGCATTCGTGGCTTTTAATGATTAAAAAATTATTTCTCTAAGCTATGTCATAACGGCGTGAGAAGTTTAACGGCAAAGTGACAAAAAAACTCAATCAATAAAGTCGAGTGAGCAAATTGAAAATTTTGAAAGTATGATAAATAAAATAAGAATCATATGAAAGTTTAGTTATCAAATGAGTAATTTACCCATGAAAGTACTTTTATACACCCGACCTCATGTAGTCAATATATGCTATAGAACTCCACACAATTGTGGGGTTTATCTGAGCTGACATGACATCTTATCCCCTTCCACGTTAGCACTTACTAGGCGTTGCACTTTTGCCTGACAATAATAATAATCACACACCAAAAATATTTTGGATAAACTACAGAAGTAGTCATCAATTTATTGTTTTCTATAAATTATCGAGAAAAATAATTCGAACCTAAAGTATTTATTACAAATATATCCATAATGTTAACTAATATTCTCTCTTTTCGTATAAAAATAATTTGAATTTACTGTAATACATTTTTTAATAGAAATTCACTAGTTTTATTAAAAATAAAAAATATCCAAAATTACAATGAAGATTTACGAGTGTAATTGTAAACCTAAAATATAATTATGATATTTTCTTATTATTATTGAGACAAAAACTAGTCACCTAGATCACATAAGGACTAAAGAAGAAAAAAGTAAAAAAGCCTAACCAAAGACTCGAATAAAATAAAGATATAAACAAATCTAATTGCATTGGTAAACGAACCACAAAAGGGGATGAAACTACTGAAACACCACTGACAAATCACTAATTAGAGTCAAGCGACGTGAGAAAACTATCTACGAACGTAAAACACGTATCCAATCAATCCTAAAATCCAACGTAGGGAAGATCATTATGATAACAAATAAGCGTCATTTTGATCAGTCGTGATAATGTCAAATCCAACCATGAGAAAAAATATAAACAAAAATAACGGCAAAAAATCGTAAGCTACCAAATGACATAGAAAAACATGCTACAAAGGCAGAGATAACCATGTCATGAAGGCAGAAAATATACCACAAAGACATAATTAATCTTATTAAAAAAATAACCGACGGGAGACAACCAACATTAAAACCAATGCCGGTTAAATAAAATTAAAAAAGAAATAATTCGATTGATCAATAAAATTGACCCAAATTGCAAAGAAGAAAAAAAGGGAAAAGAGGAGGAAGGAATTGGTTAGACTTTTTAATATATTGTAATACATTTTTTTTCTACTATTGTATTAGATAAAATAATATATGTTCAGAATATTTCTTAATTATTGATAACGTACGTACACTCCGCAGACGTAATTACTCGAACTTAAAATCTCTATTGAATTATTAACACTTCTGGTAGCCATTAGGCATTAGTCCGAATTGTGCTTTTCCAAATCTCAAAGTTTAGCCACATCCAAAGTGCCAAAACCCTGCAATAAGCAATCCAAAAGTTGCAGATTCGTCCTTCAATTTCTTCTTCTTGACAAAAGTTCTCCCCGTAAGAAACCATGCCACTTGAGCAGAACCAATGTGATCGTTATATATTTAAGCCCTCGTCCCTTGTTCTTTCATGCACATCAACCCCATCCACCGAGTTCTCAATCATCATGCATTCCGTCCACGAAGAAACAGTAGTCCCCCATAATTATCGACGTTCGGCCTCTCGGCTAACGATACTCGCTCACTTGTTCGGGATTCTAGCTTTCATCCTCATGCTGGTTTGGTTGCTGCATTATCGCGGAGGTATCGAGTACGGTTCATACGATGGTTCTCGAGTTTTCAATGTGAGTAAAAAACCGAATAATCTTCATATATTCATCGTGAAATGAGTTTCAACTTTTAATCTTATGCCACGCACATTCAGGTTCACCCATTTCTTATGTTCTCTGGATTCATATTTCTCTCCGGCGAAGGTAATCGGTAAATCAATGAAGACTAATCGGATTTTCATTAGAGCGTCGTATTGATAACACGAATCTATTGTTAAAAACATGCAGCGATGATGGTGTACAAGACGGTGCAAGCGACACATATGGTCCAGAAGGTGGTGCATATGATGTTTCAGCTCGGGGCATTTGTGCTCGGAGTGGTCGGACTTTGTGCTGTGTTCAAGTTCCATGACATGTCCAACGTCGAAGATGTTTACAGTCTGCATTCATGGATCGGGATCGCCACTATTACATTGTTTGCAGTTCAGGTAAATTGAGTCAGAGATCAACATATAATTTTATGCAACTATTTCGTTTATATGATTCGATTTTAAATATATCTGTGTCGGACCAGTGGTTGGCAGGGTTGATATCGTTTATGGCTCCTCAACCGGAGATGACAAAGCACAGCATGCTTCCGTGGCACATTTGCGGCGGCCGTACATTGCTATACATGTCGATAGCGGCAGCGCTCACGGGGTTGATGGAGAAGGCTACGTTCCAGCAACTGCAAAGTGACCGTGAAGCTCGTTTGGTCAATTTCTTGGGGCTTTGCATCCTTTTGTTCGGCATTTTTGTTGATCTCAGTGTTGCTATTGCACGTTATGTTTGATCTTTGTTCTCCTTTTGGTGTGTGATTTTCCATTTTTTGGGGCGAATTTTACATTTGATTTATGTTGTAAGTAACATTTTACCTTGAATAAAATACAAAATATGTTCCAAAACCTTCAGTTCTTCCATTTTGTTCCGTCGTCTTTCCTCGGTATCTCGTAAACAGAGTTTCGATAGCTTCTCGGCGTACTCCTCTTCCAACTTCTCGGAATTTGCCCGGATCATCCTCACGTAACTCTCGACTTCTCTCCGTGCTTCGTCCGCTTTGGTTTGGAACAATATTGCTTCTGCTTCCCTGATCCTTACCATGCTTTCTATGCTGTCGAATCCATCGGCGTTCGATGACCTTCCGAATCGGTATTCGTTTTTGTTCTTTAGGTCATTCGTGAGAGAAGGTTCGAGATCTTGCTGACGGAGGTTGGTCGGGAGTAAATCATGCCCTCTTGAAGAGCTTGTGTTGTAAAACACGAGCTTATGAGGACGAGAAGCGCCCGGTGTCACGGATGATTCATCTTCTCGAAGGTCAACTTGAGTTGTTAACTCTTTCGAACATGCACCGGAGGTAGGAAAGCCCGACAAACCATCGGCGTCTATAATTTGCAGGCCAAAAAGGGAAATGAGGACGAATAGTTTAAGACTTGAGTATATAAATGGAAAGATGGATGAACATAAAGGACTCGAATTATCGGCAATATAGCTAACTCCATAACCGGAAAGCATAATACCGATGTCTACTAACATAGATGTTTCAAGAACGAAATCGTTCAAAGAAACTGGCAAAACATAAATGATGATTCGCTTGTTCATATAATGCAGGAAAGGTCCTAATCAAAGCACGGTGCATTTTGAACTGCAGTCTGCAGGGAGCCATAATCAACGATTTATAGGACAAAGACGGGCATCGTCTCGTGGCATATGAACTTTGTTTCGCTAATCAGTTCACTCAATCATCATGATCACTTAACTATCAGGTTCGACTAATTATCGGGAATTCGTGAAATTGGTACGATGTGCTTCTAACGAAAAGAAGTTTGCAGAGAAAATATAGACAGAGCGAATGATACATACGGTTGAAGAACTGAAGAAAGCTGCCGCATGCATCTGAAGCAGACATCTCTTTGTTTCGGAGCCAGTTGCACAGCTCATCAGCTTTGATATGAAGCTCCTTGCCCTTCGAATCGTCGCTGCCCCTGAAAATCCTCCGCACGCAATCAAGCTCCTTTACCAGTGTTTCGAGACCCCAGTCCTTAGCATAGTATAAGAACACATCCTTGACGAACCCGAACATTTCCGAAGCATGACCGCAACCGAAGCAATGAAATTGCATTTCAGTAGTCCCAGATTGTCCCTTCAAGCTGGGGCCTGGTTTTATAAGGTTCATCTGAATGCCATAGGCGACATGGCACCAATGGTAACAAACATCACAACCAACCGAACTGCAATTATTGCTAGCACAATCGAAAGTCAGGCAGATCGGACACATACATGAACTGCAAAACCCTTTATTTCCCGAGCATATCTTGCAATCGCAGTCATCGACGGCCAGTACACTCTTGCAATTCAGGTTCCGACATTTCGTAAACAAGAATATCTCCACCAGCTCGGTCACGGGAAGTCCTACATTTCTGGACAAGAAGCTTTTCAGTCCCATTCTCACTGCAACTAAGATTTCTAGCTGATGCTTATGGCACTTTGAGAGTGTCTCCTTGATGAGATCAGATCTCCTCTCAAGTCGGCTTCGAAGTCGGACTAATTATTCCTTCCTCTCAAGGGTTAATATAAGGTTCCTCAAGTATTCTTTGGTCAATTCAAGTGTTTCATCAGGCAGCTCCTGCATCATTATAGCTACGGCAGGAATCGACTCGGAGACTATCTCGAGACGAATTCTTTCCTGCTGGGAAATCTTCCTGGATCTCCCTCCGTCCATACTATCCAAAACTCTCCAATTCTCCGAATCCCTCCTCCTCGAATCCCCGAATGATTATCGACACACGGCTTAGCGGCCAATTCCGATGGGAAGAGCGACCAATTATCCGAACTAGAAGTTCTCTGAAGACTATTGCACAGAACACCAGCACCAGCCAAAGCAACTCCATCAATTGGCCTAAACCGACTATGCACAGAACCATTAGTACCCTCACCACCACACCAAATTTGATCATCTTTCCCAGCAGAATACTCGTAATTCTCGGTCGAATTCCGAGTAAACGAGCAGCTAGGATTATGCGAAAACGGCGCGGAAGGAGTGTAGGACAATGAAGCAGCCGTGAAATCATTCGAACATGTGGTCTGCATGTTAGTCGATGGTGCAAAAGACTGAACACTCCTACTAGGCCTTGACCTGTGCCGTGTCGAAGCATCACCATTTTGCAAAGCATTTGAAGCAGTTAAAGAGAGAGAAACATCAGGTGGAGCCAGAGAAAGATTCAAAGTCTCAAGCTTTTGCCTTTTCTCCCTCTCTTGAAAATCTTCATCCGAATCTCTTTTGGATGAAACCCCTTTGATTTCATCCAAATTCAAGAAATCCCTTTCAACCCATTTCTCATCCTGGTTCGAATTCCCGGAATCAACAACTTCTTCCCCTCTGAAAGATATTCTAGGAAAATCTTTACGGTTCTCAAAAAGGTAGCTAAGGGTGAGCTCTTGGGAAGATCTTGGTCCATCAAGACCCACCTTTGATTCTCTAAGAGAATCAATACCCATTCGTGAAAAAATCGTCTTTTCAACAGGACTCTCCTTGTTTTGATACAAACGTGAAAGCTTGCTTTGAGAGCTTTCATCTCTTACACAATGATGATTACTCGAGGGATCTTTCTCTCCAAACATGGCCTTATCACCAGCAAACACAGAAACGAAAGAGAGAAAAAGGAAGAAAAAACGTAACTTTCCTGAGAGAAATGGGAATGGAGGGTCAAAATTGAAATTTTTCTGAAAAGAATTTATTTTTGGCTTTTGATTTAGCATGGAGGCTTGAAAACCTCGAAGCGTTTACACCATTGACTATGAAATGGTATAATTTCACGATCTATATAAAAAATTATTGAAAAATAATATTATTAAATTAAAATACTTTATGGTTTTTCTCATTTCAACACTTTTGAATTTAAGTCGATGTTATTACATATATAATCAGTATTTAGTTTATATGGAACGGAAAATTAAAAATATTAGAGCTTTAAAGTAAGATCGAGTGCAGATGAATCTGCTCTTGGTGGTGATACCAATGCCATAAATCCTATATTTGAACTTTGAGCCATGTCCAAATCTTGGTCAGTGCCGGCTTTTTTATCTTCGTTCACCTGCCTGAAACTTCCGGGCCAGAACAAGTCTACATCATCATCTTCCATGAACATTGGCATTCCGAAATACCCTTGATCGAACCGTGCTCCGGTTCTCGCATCTATCGGCCTATGGCCGGATGATGGTATGGTTCCTTGGTGCGTGACGGAATGAGCTTCTATCCCGAGGGACCGGAATGTCGAGCCGTGAAGGGGCAGAGACGCTAAGCTCGTATAACTATCTGATAACATCCCCATCCGCATGACACGCTTTGCCATCGTCCTCTCTCGCTTATGCGCATTCTGGTGTCCGCCCAATGCCCGCGAGCTATAGAACTTGCGCCTGCAGTAATTACAAGAGAAAACCCTCGGCGTCGTGGCGGACAAAGTATTACTCGGCGTCGTCTCGCTGAAATGCAGAGTCAGGTCGAGGGAGACCGACCCTGAATCCGGTCGACCCTTCGAGGGACACGAAACGGTAGTCGCGGTGTCCTTCGAGGGATCGAGTGATGCAGATACGTCGGAAGCCACTCGGCTACTTACTTCGGAGTAGTTTTCAAATTCGAAACCGGGGTTCGGAGGTGTCATTCTCGGGTAAATCAGGACGTTTTGTGCCTGTCCCCTTTGATATCCTGTATGGATTGCTACGCTACTAGTAAGTTACCTCTTCAAACACCTGCAGTGCATACCATAAAACAATGCATCGTTTGCTACACCACTAAATGCACGTTATCCATAGATTATAAAAATTTCTAATCAAATATTACATTATAATCATATGAGACTATTAAAATAATAATTCGATTAATCTCAAACTCTCGAAGATCAAGAAGATGAGACCAAAATCAACAGGAACATCTATCAAAATGAATTATACTAAAACCCTAAGCTGAAAATAGCAGCAAATTTAAAAAAATAACACTGCAAAAACAGGATTCCTGTGAGATGGTGAAAAAGATTCTTACCTGGAATGATACAATACCTTGTAAGCTATGTCGTCGTCTTCTTCTTCAGTGATTGTTCAAGAAGAAAAAGTATGTTAATAAATGGGGATAAGATTGCCAAGCAGGAGAGAGCTGAGAGAAATGAAAAGAAAGAGGCAAGCAAAACAGTACTTACTGTAATTCTCCTCACACTGCTCATTTAACATGGATAGTCAGTTGAATAAATTATAGGGTAAATTACATGATTAATACTTAAGTTATCAATTTTGATCTGTTTTAGTATAAAAACTAGAGAAAATAACCTCAGTGACTAAAAATGTCTTATAATATACGATTTTAACCAACTTTTTTTGGATTTGCCAAAATGACCAACTAAATCGCAATGTGATCGATAATTCGCAACGCGATCTTCGGTATCGCAAATCAGTTTCCAGATTCGCAACGCGATTCTGACTATCGCATTGCGATTTCCCAAATTCGCGTTGCGATTTTCCTAATTCGCAATGCGAATACGTAAATCGCAATGCGAATTTGGAAAATCGCAATGCGAATACGTAAATCGCAACACGAATTTGGAAAATCGCAATGCGAATACGTAAATCGCAATGCGAATACGTAAATCGCAATGCGAATACGTAAATCGCAACGCGAATCTGACTATCGCAACGAGATTCTGACTATCGCAATACTGAATTTCAAATTCGCAACTCGATTTCTGAATTCACAACAGGTTTTAGTTTCGCAACACAAATGTTTTGGGTATATAACTACGCAGCAGCAGCAACTCATAACCTAAATCCCTAAATCGCAACTCATTCCATCTCCATCTATCACTCTCTCCGGCTACATCCGTTCCTATATCCAACGACATCCTTCCCCATCCGGCAACAGGTTTTAGTTTCGCAGCTCGTTTGTTTAGTAAATTAATTTACAATAATGAAATCATCTAATGTTGATCATGTTTGGATAGATTTGTGTTTTGGAGGGTCATGGGAGAATGTTCGTGGTGTTTTACAATATATGCCTTTACCCATGAATATTCAACTAAAACTGTCATTAAAAAAGTTAACTTATGAAACTCTAATATTACGTGTTGCAAATAAATTGAATTTAGAGCCCCTAAGTGGATTTAGGCTATCTTATCAGAGAAATAGTAAAGTTTATTTGTTAACCGACAATGAAGATGTTGAACGATTCATTGCTTACATTAGTGTTTCAAGTGATGATGTTACATTGTATGTTGTTGAACCTAGAAGTAGTGAAGTTGGGTCAGTAGCGGGTAGTAATCAACTAAGTTTTTCAACCCCAGTTTATGGTGCTCAAAATTTAATGGTTCCACCACAATTTCATCACCAAGCAAATATTTTTTCACCACATTTCCAATACCAAACACAATCTCAAAACCCACAACCTTTCCGTAATCCAAATCCCAATCAACTTTCAGCACCAAATTCTGGTTTTCGTATTGACCAGTTAGACGATGATGAGCCAACAGAAAAAATTGTGAGTACTAGTCAGTATTCAAAATTTAATCTTAGTCAATACCCGAACTTTGATCTTGGTCAATACTTAGATTTTGATGATTTTTCAGAAGAAGAAACAGACCCTGCGTGTAATGATTTTGGTATTGGTCAATACCCGAATTTTTATGATGAAACAGCCGTTGCCGAGGAAGATGTTGTTGATGATAATGAGGAGGAAATTACGACTGTAAATGAACATGTTGAACATCCATTCTGTAATTCATATAACACTGAAGAAGAAAAAGAAGAAGAAATCCCCAAAGAAAAGTCCCCGAAGAAAATGCCACGGGAGTATAACTGAAATATGCCAGAATTACTTCAGATACCGGAAGAAGAGTTGGTAAAGATAGCAGTTGATTGTTACACAAAAATTATTCGTATCAAGAAAGATGATTGTTTTGATACAAAGGAATACTTGAAGATAGCTTTGTATACGAAATGTGTGGAAGATGGCTATCAACTAAAAGTTAACAAATCAAGCAAAGATCGTTTCGAAACAAGGTGTATGATTGACAAAAACTGTACGTGGCGTATGATTGCAAAGAGGATAAAAGATTGCGAAATGTTTCAAGTTAGGACTTTTATTGATAAACATACATATTCAAGAACCCAAGTTTTTCCTCATCATAGACAGGCAAACAAAAAGGTGTTTGGTGGTTTTCTGGTTGAGTTAATGTTTTTGAATGGCAGGGTATATTGGGGACATGAAATTATGACTGACATGAATGCTCGGTTCAAGATTAGTATCTCATATTCTCAAGCTTGGAGAGCCAAATGTTATGCCTTAGAATTGTTGAGGGGGTCGCCAGAAGCATCGTTTGCCCAACTGTCGGCTTATTGTCACAATTTAAAGCTGAAAAATCCTGGGTCGGTAACTCATATCAAAACAGATAGAGATGGACGCTTTGAGTTACTGTTTATCGCCATTGGTGCTGCGGTTAGTAAATCAATATAATTTTGTTGACTCATTTTTGTTAGTTACATGCATTTCACATTTAAATGATTATATTTCTTGTGTATATGATTTTGTAGATTCGTTCGTTTATTAATTGCATGCGCCCAGTTTTTATAGTTGACGGAGCACATTTAAAAGGTCGATACCTTGGAGTAAACTTATTAGCAGTAGCCATGAATGCTAACAATGGGATACTGCCAATAGCTTACGGGGTTGGCAAATCTGAAACCTCTGATTCATGGACATGGTTTATGGGGCATCTTAGGGATTGCATAGGTCCTATTAGCAATCTGACAATCATATCCGATAGGGCAAACTCAATTGACAATGCTGTTAGAAGGTGTTTCCCAGATGCTTTTCATGGACTTTGTGGTGTTCATTTGTATAGAAATCTAAAATCAAGGTCTGCTGGTATAAAAAATCACAAATGGACATACTGGAATGCTGTAAAAGCTTATCGGGAAGTGGATTTTAATAAGCATATAAACTGTTTAAGACGTGTTTTGCCTCAGTGTGCTCAAACACTAGAAGATGTCGGGTTTGAAAGATGGTCAAAAGTACATCAACTTGGAGCAAGATATGGTTTCATGACGTCTAATAGTGCAGAATCAATCAACGCTCTAAGTCGTCATTCCCGGAAATTACCCATTACTATATTAATGGAGTTTTTTCGAGCCTCTATTCAACAGTGGTACTACAAGAAAAGAAACCATGCATATATTATTTCTTTAAATTCGTAACTTATCATATATTTTACTAAGTATTATTTATTTAAATTTACAGGAACATTGAAACATCGTGTTACACCATGGACTGAAAAAAAGATAACGAAACGTGTTGTGAAGTCAACGTCATGGAGAGTTGAACCATGTTCAAACACTTTGTTTGAAGTACTGGATAATAACTTAAATGTGCTTGTCGATCTAAATGCAAAGACGTGTAGTTGTATGAAATGGCAAACATCTGGTTATCCATGTGGCCATGTTATAAAAGTTTCTCTTCATCTAAACCAAGATGATTCAAGCGCATACGCCATGGATTACTACACTACAGAAGTATATCGACAGACTTATGGTGATATTGTCTATCCTATTCCACATCATTCTGAGTGGGATATACCAGATGACTTACAAACAGTTTTGCCACCAGCCATGGACAGAAGGCTACCTAGCCGACCAAAAAGTCACGATCGTATACCATCTAAGGGTGAAGAGAAGAAGAGATCGACATGTAGTCGGTGCAAGGAAATTGGTCATACAAGGTTGACATGTGGATCACCAGTGCCATCACAATCATCTTTTCCTCTACCAAAATATGGATCCTCATCAAAATCCCAATCACAGCCGGCTTTACCTTTTGGGACTGTTAACTAAGGTGATTTTTAAATGCAAACGTTGTATTATGTGTATATTATGTGTGAACTTTTAACATTTTCAGTTAGGCATGTATTAGTAACTTGAGTTTGAACATTGCTATGATATGTTCAGTTGTTATCACTTATTAGACATTCATTTGACTATCGCAACGCGGAAATCGCAACGCGAATATGACTATCGCAACACGGAAATGACTATCGCAACGCGGAATTGACTATCGCAACGCGGAAATGACTATCGCAACGAGAGAATCGCAATGCGAAATGAAAATCGCAACGAGTGATTCGCGTTGCGATTTTCATTTTCGTATTACGATTCACTCGTTGCGATTTTCATTTCGCATTGCGATTCTCTCGTTGCGATAGTCGTTTCCGCGTTGCGATAGTCTGTTTTGCATTCAACATAATGCAGATTAAAATCAACAAATCAACTATTACATTTCAATCAATTAAACAAGCACAAATAATAATTATGTACACATCAATTAAACAAATCAACATTTACAAATCAATTAAACAATCAAAAAAATAATAATGAATTATTTCCTCATCAATTATTGAATCAAATTTTGCACCCATACATCCATTTCACGCAGCTCACTTCAGGATTAACCTGCAGAAACCAAACATTGAATCAACAACACTTTCTACATATCTAAAACCTACAAACAGCAAATTATTGAATTCTAGCTACTTAACCAAACATTTTCAAACCAAAAAGAGTATATATGTTTAACAACACTTGCATTTGACTTACAAATTGTTTATAGACACTTTCATAACGCGGATGCAGGTAGGCAGCGTCTCGCATATATCGCTCTAGCCATAAAATGCCGAAACCATAAGCCTACTGCAGCTCTATCTCTATCGGTGGGAGGTAGAAAATATGTACTTCCTGTCTTCAAACGCTCCAAGCACATGCATACGAGAGGACCACAATCCCCTCTGGCTTTCTTCGTTTGTTGTGGCGCGGTCTCGTCTCTGATAACTGTAACATTGAACTTCTTTGGCTTCTTGTTTCCAGACTTAGTCCAATAATTAATTGCATCCAAGAATTTAGCCAAATGAGAGCTCCATCCCTTAATAATATCTCTCAAATCAGACAATGATATGTAATTTATCATGCTGTCATATACTATTGTCTTTAGGGATGGGAGCTGAAGCTCAACGAGAAACCAATGAGTACGATCCAAAATAGGGATAAACACCTGCATTGAAATGT